TAAATCAACCATCTACGATAATTCTGGAGTCTACAAAATAAATTGTAATGACTGCACGAAATACTATATTGGTTACCATGAATGAAAGTTGAAAGATGAGTATAAAATGGATGCCTAGTGTAGCTTTGTGTTTGTGGGTCAATATCACACGTGTCTTTTGCCAGGACCATTGAAATCCCAATGATCAAGGACAGCTTGCATTTTATTCCAGTCCTGTTTCAAACTATGTTTTTCGACTCAGGACGACCTGCTGATTACCAGGTGAGAGCTGTATTCACTCATATCATTACGTTATTTCATTACGATTATCAGATTACCACTCAGTTATTATACCTAGAGATCGGAATGAATATTATTAGTATTTTAAAACGTTTTATTCTTGAACTTCCAATCTTTTCCCCTTGTTCTATTCTATACGTTGTTAATTTTATAGGTTTGAAACAAAATGTTGCATTAACCTATGTTTTTGTAAGGGTATAAATACAGAAGCTAATTAATATAGGAAAATGTATTTTAATATTAAATCATTCACAGCCTTTGTAAATTAATTGATTGCAGTATTTTAAAACATTTATTTCTTGAACTTCCAATCTTTCTCCCATGTTCTATTCTATACATTGTTAATTTTATACTGGTAGGTTTGAAAGAATATGTTGCATTAACCTATATTTTTGTAAGGGTATAACCACAGAAGCGAATTAATATAGGATGTGTTTTAATATTAAATCGGTATGCGTTAGATTTACACCGAAGTTTACTATCGGAGTACCCGCAACACAAATAGTACTACATTTTCGTCATGACTTTCCTCTGTGGCACCAAAAAACCAGACCGTATTTGGGCTATTTGGAATTAATTTGATAAATTATAGAGAATTTATTTTGCTAAAGTTCTCTCGTGGTTTGAGAACTATCCCAGTCGTATCTTAGAAATCGTGACCCGTTAAATCATACTTAATGCGAAATCAAAACCGTTCTTACCAGAAGAGCAAATGAAACTATATGTTTTAATTTTTTTTTAAAGTTTCAACAATCTTAAATTAGTTAACCAGTGAAATTTTTACCCACTCTATATGTTATCGCATATCAATCCCAAGAATAATAACTACCCAGTGAAATTAGTTACCCAATCTTTTCTTTTTAAGACAATGATTTTTCCTTGCCGTTTTACGAAAGAACAACCTTTAATTTAAACATATTTATAATAACTTGCACAATGAGTACAACAACACCAGATTAAAACAATTTCGAAAACATTCAATGAGAGAAGTCACATTGCAGATCTTTGATTAAATCAAACTGTGTCGGGCGACAAAAACTTTTCTGCTTTGTCCCTTTAGGCTTAACACTTTGCCTCTCAGCTGATTTCGGGGTGATGCAAACTTTTAGAAATGGCTTCGGCGATTTAAGGAATTCTCAGATTTTATAACTGTGTAGTTTTTTACGCGGTAACATTTGGTGCAATGTTAGGCACTAAGATTTAATAAGAGAGAAAACTTTTGGATGTTTTGGTGACTTTATTAATTGATAAATCATGTATTTGATAAGGCAAATAAAATATTCGTACATGTTTGTTTTTGTATTTAAAAATAACAAAACTTTACAGATATAATTTAGTTTCATAAAAAATATATTAATGGGCCAGAATGTATCTTAAATACCTTTTTTTGTCAGCTCGTGTGCATCGCAGGAAAAATACACGCATACTGTTAGAAAGACATTTGCATGTAGATTTGCAGAATACCTTTATAAACTAAAAGGTTCAAAAATAAGCACAAAAAGTCAATTGAAAAATTTAAAAACTAACATGGGCCTTATAGGTTGTAATGCTGGTGACAAAATATAAACAGAAAATAAAAAAAAATTAAAAAAATTCCAATCACATGTTATTTTTACAGCGTTTGGTGAAATATGAGTATTATATAGACCTTATTATAATTGATGGTATATATACAGGGTGTTTCAGAAATCGTGTCTGATATTGTAGGGAATTATTCCTGGGTAAGAAAAATATCCAAATATCATATTTAAATTGTTCGGAAGTCCTTACTTACTCACACAGCCGCTATTTTGTTTTTTTCACTTATTAATTGTTTTCTAAAAAGTGGTAAAATATATGAAATTGAAACTTTGCACGAACATTTATGAAAACTAAAAAAAAAAAAACTACAACAAAATTATGAAAATTTGTAAAATACATAACTTCATACTGTAGTTGTTTTTCTAAACCACTTTCAGCTAATCAATAAAAGGTTACAGTACCTGCAGACTGCCTAGTGGAGTTTGTTAATCCTGTAGGATTACGCGTGTTTCGGCAAATATATTACCATCTTCAGATCTTTAACTTGAAACTTAAAATATTGATTCTTCGACACATATGGTATTTAAATCGATCACATAACAAACGAACATTTAACATATGTAGTCATACTATTAAAACACCGAACAGGATACACGATGCAAGCACCTCTCGTGCCGATTCTCGACTGAACATTGTTTATTCAATGTAGTCAGTTTCTCCTTTTTTACTCTCAGTTTTACACTCACAATTAAAGTGTACTAAACTCATAAGCTGTCAATCGATTTGTAATTAAATTCCTTAAAAAAGTAATTCTTGTAAAATGTTTGTAAAATCTACCGTTTTTGAGTTATTTAAGAAAAGAAAAAATTAAATGGCTGCCATTTTTTAATAAATTTGATAAGTTATCATAATTTTGTTGTAGCTTTGTCTAGTTGTCATAAATGGTTGTGCAAAGTTTCAATTTCGTATATTTTACCACTTATTAGAAAACAATCAATAAGTGAAAAAAACCAAAATCGTGCCTGTGTGAGTAAGGACTTCCGGACGGTTTAAATTTTTCTTACCCAGGAATAATACCCTAAAATATCCGAGACGAATTCTGAAAAACATCCTGTATATAGAAACATGCTTGTCTATTATATTAATAGGCAAAACTGTTTCTTTAATAATTTTTTTGCTATTTCGCTTTCGGCTTACGATTATTTATAGTTATATTTCAAGTGCAAACTTATAAAATGTGTACAGTATGAAATGCAGTGCAAACCCAGTTGGTGTGTGTGCATTAATAATTTTCGTGTTGTCGTATTTTCACCAGCTGTAAAGCAATCATCAGCTAAAATATAAAATCAAAATAATAACATAAACAAAGTATTTATTTCTCAGTGTTGGTGAGTCAGATTTTTCACTGGTTGTGTGTTGTGTGATATGTCCGATTATTATGTACTTACTTTTTTGTTAAGTGAAATAACGATCATTTTACTGAGTTATTTTATTATTAACTTGAGTAACTTTCAAGTATCATATTCTAAAATGCCTCTACGGCGAACATTAGGCCTAACTAACCGGATTGAAAGAAGGAACAGTAGCCATCTCTGAGAGTTAATCAACAAGATTTATTAGACCAATTTTGATAGATAGTTTTGAATGTGCGTTAAGAGAAGTGCCTCAGGAGTTTTGTGTCTCAAACATTGGACTTAGGAGCTTAGAATACAACCCATACTTCATAATATGTAAGTCTTTCATCTTCTCTTTCCCTTACTGTACTAAGTTGTAAGGTTTGTAGCTCGGGTAGACCAATTAATGGAAAATCACATGTAAAGTATGTTTGTCTGGATTCTGTAATCGAAACCACAAAAAGGGGTCAGAAATTTCCGGGACTCACTTTATTGGTTTACTTAAATCTTTTAGAATATTTTCTACAACAGTTCGTTATTAATTTAAACCTGCCTTTTTCCCTAACCTTAGCCCCTTAACATCGTACATTACGAATTGTATGTAGTCCTAGGTTGATATCCAAAACTTATTTACAAGGTTATTTTAAGATTTGTTGACACAATTATAGATCCATAGTATTTTCTTGACTAGTTTTTCACATCTTAAACAAATTAAATCACCACCATTGTAATTACGTTTCAGTATTCCTAAACCATCAACACGATTTCTCTTCATGCATTACTGTATGCATTATGTTGCGGCCGTGAGTTGTAAGTCACAATTCACTAACAAGGATATTTAAAACCTATTATTTATTCATAGTTTTCATTACTTTGAAAGACATTTAACACAGCGGACACTACTGATTAACATTTCAGTTTGTCAAATGAAATTTTCAGAATTAATATTTTATTGAAAACACTAGCCTACCTAACCTTCCTCTGACATTACCTAGTAGGGGAAGTCTTCCTTCGGAACTACTAACAGGACTTTGCTAATATTATTGAATTGTCAGTGTACAATATTCGTAATTTGTTCGCCACCAAGTTAGCCATTCATGCGTTTTTTTTATGATTCATAGTTATACAGTTCATATTGAGTTTGAATCATTTATAAATCGGATCCTCAGCCATGACTGCTAATCGCCTGTTTTGGGCCTACTAAACACGTTTCGAAATTATACGCTTGTCATTGCATGCACAACTTGATCGCCGGGTTAGTTACCGTCCTACTTAAGTGATTTTGTCCACAAATTCTCGAATTAAATAATTACATTTTTTACTAAAAATAGCATCCATACCTGACTTGCAGTCTTTCTTGACCTATTCACGAAATTGTAGACACTTGTCCGTCCGTATTTCAATGAATTACCGACTTTTATTTACTCATGTAGTTTTTTTTTTCGTAACGAGTTTTTTCTGTATTTATCAAGCTGACTTTAATTTCTCAACCTACTAAACTGAATGTTTTGAATTGCACATCTGTCCAGTCCATCCGTTATCAATCCCTTGTTATTAATGCACGCAATTTTTCTCACGGTGCCGCGATGTGGAAAAGGTAAAATTAAATTTCCCGTTTAACGTGTATATTCTCTACAAATATTCACCACCTTTCTTGACCTACTCACAAAATCGTACACTCGTCCATCCGTAATTCATTGACCGTTATTCATTCAGGCAGTTTTTCGCTCGGTGCCGGGAGGTGGCAGGAGGCTGCGCACTAGCGGCGCCCGGCTATCGACCGACAGTGTGTCCACAGCCGTGGCTATGAGAAGACTCGTGGTGCTCGTCTTGCTGGCCCTCTGCAGACCTTCGCAGCAACATGACAACACCACCGAGCTCTACACCAACTCCTCTGACCACCACAAACCAGAAAAAGATCCGTTGTTCCCGGAGGATCTGTTCACTATGGAGCAACGACGGAACGGAGCCGTCGTGTTCCATATTATCGGGGTGATCTACATGTTCGTCGCACTAGCCGTGGTTTGTGACGAGTTCTTCGTCCCTTCCTTGGATGTAGTCATCGAGAAGCTCGACATCGCCGAGGATGTCGCCGGAGCCACGTTCATGGCTGCGGGAGGCTCCGCCCCGGAACTGTTCACTTCGGTGATCGGTGTATTCGTCAGTTTCGACGACGTCGGTATCGGTACTATCGTCGGATCCGCGGTTTTCAACATCCTCTTTGTGATCGGCATGTGCGCTCTGTTTTCTCGTACGGTTCTCACACTCACGTGGTGGCCGCTTTTCCGTGATTGCACCTTCTACTCGGCCTCGCTTATCATCCTGATCATTTTCTTCCGTGACAACAACATCTATTGGTACGAGGCTGCGGTGTTGTTCTCCATTTATCTGATGTACGTCAGCTTCATGAAGTGGAACCAGCAGGTGGAGCGGTTCGTGAAGAAACACCTGTATAAGAACAGGGTGACCAGAGTACGCAGCACGGACCAACTTATGCCATCGGTGAGTTTGGGGTATTAAATAAACAGCATCAAATTAAAAATACTTTTACTTTCAAGATTTTCTCTAGACCTTTAGCTATTTTGAACTAACCTAATACTATACCTAAACAGTATTATAATTTTCTTTTACAATTTATTCATATTAAATGGATATTACTGATTTTAGGCATTCAGGTAGCTCAATGTCCAAAATAAGAGTACCCTTTCCTCCCAACCTCTAAGGAAATTCTCGCCAAGTAAAGCCCCCAACGCAGTGCCCTAACTTTTCGAGAATTTATTGATAGGTTCCTTAGAATTCCTTAGAACTAAGTTTCCACAAAGTTGAATAGAGTACTGTCTAGGAAGATCAACACTTTAAGCTGGTTAATGTTATATGTTTATACATTTTATTTGTGATTTTATGCCATTGGAATTCGTCAAGGATTTTGTAAGAGAACGGTTCAAACTATAGGATGTCGGGGTTTTGTTAGGAAATATTAATAAATGGTGATCTCCAGAAACGTCCTCACTTGGAATCGATCCAGTGACCTTCACATTTGATTGTGAGCACATACATTAAATTTTTAAATTAAAAAATAGTCTAACCTTAATAAACGATACGGATACATAATCCATAGTTTTGCCTCTGTTAAGGGAATACATAGTAAACGGGTTTTATGTTATATCCGGCAGTACAATACAGCTATACATAATTAGTTAACGTTATTATTACTAAACAGTATTAATTAACAGTAAATTAAACTCGCTCACGTTGAAAACGCACGTTAGGAAACATGTTCAAGGTCAAATGGGTGAAATCTCTCGTATGTGAAATCCCTACTGTTTTACGCGTCTTTTAACCCACAATATTGCTTTCCATATTCATATAATACTATTTACAATGAGATAAACTGATAGACTTTTTACAGAATCCATCAAGTCAGTAGCTTAGTTTCCTACTTCATTTTTAATTGTTATAGGACACACATTACTTTTAGGTTTAATGTGTGTATGTGTTTGTGTTTATATGAATGAATCAATTTTCCTAAAAAGTGAATCGTAGCTTTACCCCCTAATTACCCACAATAATAATATTTAATTAATTTAATTACAAATCAAAATTGTCTACTCAGTTAGATTTTAGGTTGTATTAGATACAAATCTTAACACACAACAATCTCTCACTTCCCTTATTCTACCCAAATAATTGTGTCACGTGACTTTTTTATAATATAACTAAGTGTACAATGCAGTTAGTTTGTCTTCTTGCAATATTGAGCTGAGCTAGCATATTAATCCAATACTTTTCTAAAGTCAATGCTACATCTGTTTCTAGTAAATGAGATACATACTTACAGAATCCGATGTCAATGGTATATTTGGTTCACATAAATGGAATGTCTATTTGCAGTATCCAAAGTCAATTATAATTCTGGTTCACATAAATGAATTGTCTACTTGCACGAACCAAAGTCCATGTTTCATCTGGTTCTCATGAATTAAATGTCTACTTGCAGTATCCAATGATATATTTGGTGAATTATTTACTTTTAGTATCCAAACGCAATTGTACATTTGGTTCATGTAAATGAATTGTTTACTTGCAGTATCCTAGGTCAATGGTTCATTTGATTCACATAAATAATGGAGTGCCTATTTGCAGTACCTATTCAAAGTCTGCATTGATGTAACGTCTAGTTCACTTAAATAGAGTTGCAGTGTCCAGACTCCAATGGTAGGCCTATATTTGGTTCACATAAATGGAATGGCTATTTAAAGTATTTAAAGGCAATTGTGCATCAGCCTCATTCCGACGACCCTAATTATTAGTTATTAATTTTGTAGTAAATTATGCTCGATGATATTAACCCGATCGTTCTTCCCCTTTTCTCTGTACGGTATTTTTTAATGTGCTATTTTAGATGATTCGTTGACTAACATATGTTGCGACTCTTGTTTAAATTTTTATTGTTATCTCGCAGATAATGTCATGGTGACCAATCAACCCATAAGACCCATGTTAAATTTATAAAAGTCTAAATTCACGTAGGGAAATGCCCTGACGTCCAATTTGTACCAATTCAGATATATACCTTCCCATGGTTAGTTGCTATGAATGTTCTAAATTGCGTGCAGATCGCTTCAGCCGTTCAAGAGGAGTATTTGTAAAACAAAAGCAGGAGTGTAGTACACTATAAGAGCTTCGCTAAATTAAATCACCAATTTAAAAAGAATGGAGACAACTAAACGTCGGGTCATGTTCTTGGTTAAATTAGTAAGTAAAAAAAAATACAATTTACTTATTCTATGCAATACACTGTTCAATTGATCGGAAAAACTACTTAGGCCTATGAAATGAAAATGCCTTCATCCTTCATCACTTAACTTCTCTTTCATTACAAACTAGCCACTGTATGTTTGCCGAGTATACATTATACATAAAATACGTTAATTATACTGTCACATGATATACCGATATACCTATGTATCTCGGCATACATTATAACCATAGACTAGCTGTATCCCATTACAGGTTTATCATCCTTAATTGAGAATGATTTTAAGGTCTGCTAGGTATACATGTGTGTATATGCGATTTTTACTGTTAAATGTTCCGTGGTTGTATTAATTTAAAAACAATTTCAACCAAATAAAACGATGGATGTAAACCACTGCATGTCCTTAGGGGTTTAACACAAAAGTAAGATGCACACAGATTTACATTTTGTTTAGTTGCCTTAGAAAATATATTTCCTTTTTAACCGTTTGCAAATAGAATATACAACTAGTAATGTGTTTTATGGTGACATTTGAATTTTTTTAGGAATTCAATAACCATCACCTGCATACATAGGGTACGACCCATTGTGTGGTAATAAAAATTGAGAATGAATTTTAGAGACATCACTTCTTAGATTTTAATGCCACCCCAACTCAGGTTTATCGGAGTTACAAGTAAACAAAATAATAACATAAAAAATACAGATTTTTGAAAACATTGACTTGTAGGAGTGATGATAAGGCATATCACCAAGGCCAGTTTAACTGATAAGTTATATCCGGAGAAAAACACAGAAACACAAATTTATGAATGGTTGTATAAATGTAACTAGGAGTTTTCAATTCGTAGAGCCCCTTCTGAAATCTATATTGTTTAAATAGATTACTTTATTACACTTCATCAAAAACTAAGGTTTCATGGGATTAAAAATCAACAATTGTATTTAGTATTTTCCAATAGGCACCTAGGATTCCAATTACCATTAAAATCACGAAGATGATAATGTTTTCTAAAATTATTTGTCGTCAAGAAATATTTTCTTCTACAAGCTTTTCCTTTTCTGCTTCAAACAACCTCCAGAGGCGCTAGTGTCTAAAATTCAATTTTATACCTTATCTTTATACATATTTGGTTGCTGACTAGGTTAATGGGTCATAATGGTTGCTATAACTCACCATAAGTCACTCACTTAGTTCGGCTCCGTAAATAAGTTCGTGTATTCGACAGAATTTAATAATTTAGATCAGTGCAATCTGTCGGTGGCTTAACTACAACGATTTTGTCAAAGAATTAACCCAATACTAGTACCCTCTGGTGAGATGGTCCTGGACTTCTATTTTATTGGCTTAATATTTTTACATTACATGGAATGTCTCTGTGTATGGTTGTATATCTCTGTCAATGGTTGTACGCATCACAGTCTTGGTATTTTACTGAACGTAGCACCAGATGTTTTCCAAGGCTAGTCAATCAATCTTCAGCAAATGGGTGAGTGTCTCTAATAGATTACACCCCGTTTAGCTTCTCGGTCGTCCGTCTCAAGCCAGTCACGTGACTAGCTTAACTTGTACGTCACTATTACCTGATTAGTAAATGAATCTGGTGACCAAGCTTAATCTAGAGAAGTATTTATCAACAGGCAAATAGTTTTTCTGCGTAAGGATACTTGCTATTTCTGAATATATTTTTTGTCAGAGCGAAATATGTAGTCACTAAATTATGACTTACAATAGATCATTTCCATTGTATGAATATGACGTTGTATGAATATCATGTTGTATGAATTCATTTTAATAAATTATTACCAGTCAAAAACATTCAAATTCTATTAAACTTTAAACAAACGAGATTCCTTCTAAGAAAATTACTCTATTTCAATTAAGTAAGCTCACTTACATGGCCCCCTATTTAAAACTATTGAAAGATTACAATATTATTAACTTGAATATGACTGTAATTGACAGAAACCCTATCCTATACCCCTGCCGCAGCAAACCTGCAGATTAAGTGAATTTCCATTTACCAGTATTGGATTTAGAATAAAATCTATTTAAATAACATTAAATTACATTAGGTTGTACATTAGGTTATAGGTTAGGTTACCTATGTTTGCTGCTACTGGGAGGGTAACAAAATGTGTTTTTAGTAAATTATGAATATTTCAGTATAAAATAAATAAACTTACTAAGATTGATAAAAATATATCCATACACAAGCAAATACAACGGTTTAGTTATTATCCATAAGAATAATATGAGAATTTTAAATTTAAAATGTATTCAATTTTCCCCGTAACCAAATACCGCACTAAACACTCCAATATACTAAATTATTTGTTTTTTAAGCTCTTTTATTGTTGTAAAGAGAAATTGGGGAATTTTATGTTTTGAGGGTCAGAAATGAGAAAAAAATTTGTTACTCCATAAAATTCCCATAGTCCGATCATTCTGATTTGCGAACTCCTTCAAGTTTATCCCGCCCTAAACTTTTAAGCTAAATATCAAAATCATACAAAAATTACTCAAGTTATCGCATTCTCTGAGTTGTGTCTCAGAGAAATAAGGTGATGATGAGTTTTACAATCAATGATTGGTATACCTATTTTTACAGAAGCTTTGTATTCCAATCTGACCCGAGCTCACACCCCGTTGCGAAGCAAATATAAAGCAACTACTAATCACTATTAGTATTATTAAAATTAAAATTATATTGCTATCGGTAAAAAAATACAGTAAGACATC